CGTGGGCGCAGTCAGAAGCTGCTGGGGATGTGGTACCAGCTTCTGCCCGATAAGATCTCCTGAAGAGCTACTAAAAAAAAAAAAATATATATATATATATATATGAAAGTGATAACATTGCTCAAAACGGCGATAGCTTCAATCTACTGAAGAAAACACGCAGCAGAAATCAGTCTTACCTTCCTGTGACTCCCATCCTTCGGGGGGGTGACATCCATGCTAGAGAGCAGGAGGAATGAGCTTTCTGCTTTTATTTTCCACCGAGTTTTGCAGCGATCCCAGCCCCGGCGACTCCTTGTTAAACTTCCACATGTTTTCGGAGCGCTGGAATTCTGCCGGCATCTGCAGCCCAGTACAGTGTCTGCAGAACAGGAAATCCTGTATTTTGTTTCTCTTCACCACACGAAACGTGTACAGCTAATGACGTTAAAACAACTGGGAAGGCGATGACGTTTCATCCAAATGCCATCCGAGCAAGACCTCGGGCGCGGATTTCTTTCTTTCCTTTTTGCACAGAAGTTGTGATTGTGTCCTTCAGGCGAGCTGCTTCTGCTTATACCCACGGTCACTTGCCGTTTGCTTGCTAAAAGCTATAAAATACGGAAGCAAAACCTCTTCCAGTAAGCGCTCACTAAAGGAAAACTGAAAACTGTGCCAGTGTAAGTTACTGGAAGGTGGTAATTTTCCTTCATTTTCTTGGAAGTTTGGTTAGCCTCAGACTATCAAGGCTATAGGCTGAAGCTAAGGGTTTGGACTTTATTTCAGAAATAAATACGATGGTTTAAGGTGGAGACTTCCCAAAAAAACTGTTGTTTAAAAAAACCCCAATGTGCATCATTCCCTAATTTTTTTTTTTCTCCTCCTTTAATTCCATTCCTATATATATATATATTATTTTTTTTTCTTAGTTCTTTTACTGCCTGCTAAGCATGACCACCTTCTTTCTGAATTGCTGAAAACTGGCAGGCATATATTGTAGTCTAACTTATTGTGAGCCGCCTCATTTCCAGCTGAATGGTTTTGCTTGATATACAGTGTCACATCTTACAGCCCAGGGCTTGCGAAGATAATATGGCTGTTGGCATCTCTCCCTTCCTTGCTGTAGGTAATGTATAAATAGAACTATTCTTGCTCCATCTATTTTTCTGTAATTTGTGCTATGACCCTGAAAAACTATCAGAAATGTAACTGTGGAAGAGAAATGAAAGGAGGAAGCTATTTATAACCTTTAATTGTAGAATAAGGGGCCAGCTCAGGGTCTGGGGATCAAGCATTCATCTTTCCCCACAGCATCTGCGCCCCCCGGCTCTGCGGGCCCTGCAGTTGCCAGGGTTTCTTGGTGCCAGCAGCTCTGCTGGCTGTGGGGACCCGAGCGTGCTCCCGTGCCCTGAAGTGGTGTTTCACAGAGGAGAGGATCCTTGACCTGAAGTGTCCTGTGGTCGGTGGAGATACAGTTATTAAAATCTGTTGGTCAACTTCCTCATGAAAGTGAAGGCAAGACCCATATATGTACCAGCTTTTATAGACATATCCACGGGCTCTTCATCACCACTTGCTTACCCATCACGTAACCGTAGCCTGCTAGCAAGTAAGTACCTGTGAAGCCCCGTGCTTCTCATCTCAGCTGGGAGCAGAGTGAACTGAAAGATGCAAAAGCTGCTTATCATTCCAGGTTTTCGCAGAATCCAGAAACATCCAGGTTGGAAAAGCCCCTGCAGCTCCTCCAGCCCAGCCATGACCCTCACCCTGACCGTTCCCAGCTCCCCCAGATCCCTCAGCGCTGGCTCAGCCCGACTCTTCAACCCCCCCAGGGATCCCGGGGACTCCCCCCTGCCCTGGGCAGCCCATTCCAACACCCAACAACCCATTCTGTAAAGTAAAACTTCCTAATATCTAGTCTAAACTTTCTCTGGTTTTCTTGTGCATCTTTTTCAGCAGCTGATGCTGCTCCTTGGAAGACAGAGCCGCGCTCGTGCGTTTGCCAGACGTTCCCAGACTCGCAGAAGGGAGGCTGGCACTGCGCCCCATCCCTCTCCAGAGGTTAAAGGTTTATCCCGAAGCAAAGTGGTTTGTTTTGTCAGGATATCCTGCCTAGGACATCCTACTTCTGTGACCACAGCACACATCCAGCTATCTCTGAGCCCTATTTTTAGGTAGGTGTTTACAGCCGGGCTGCTGGGGAAGGAAGGGTCAGTGGATGTCAGACTATAGAGAGGGTCAGACTCGCACCTCAGGGCTCATAACCACGTTAAGTCCTTCCTCATCACTTTTTTTGAGTACTTTTGCAGATCTCAACCTTCCCGGTCGTGAAAGGCTGGTGGATTGACAAGCCTCAAGCCCCTTCAACACGTGCTGATCAACCTATCTTTTCTTCTTTCAACTGCATGCCTATTTTTGTTTAGCTTTTCTGCTCTCTTCTGTCTTCTTATTGATACTAAACATGAATTTAATGCTGTGCAATGTTATAATTTCAAAGGCAGAAGACACAAAAGAGTTTTTAAATAACTGTGAGACTTTATCTAAGGCCTCCAGAAAAAAAATGGTCGCCTTTAGCCTGGTATCCTGTGGGCAGAAGGCCAAATGCATATGATCAGCATCTCTTTAAGCGCTCAGATATTTAAGAAATATCTGACAGGATGCACCTGAAGGATGTATGAAGAACAGTAGGGCGTTCAGGAGGAGGAGGAGGAGGTCTTGTTCGCACAAAGCAACTCACCCTTGTGCATGGACTTGCTGCGGCTTCGCCAGAGCCCTCGGCACATGGCCCACGGGGCTTGGTGAGTCCCTGGTGCCCGCTGGCACACGGTGCCTCTCACCACTGCAGTGGTCTCTACAGGGACAGCTGTTTTGGGAAGCTTGGATTTATTTTACAGCAGATAATTGTTGGTCACTCCCTGCCTTTTTGGGGCTAAGCCCTTGTGTAGCCCGCAGACCCAGCATTTTTGGTGAAAATGCACCAGTCGTAGCCCTGAAATCGGTTAAATGCAATGAAGCGTTTTCCTATTTTTGAGCTGGCTCCTAGTTGTTAAGCTGTTATTTTGCATTTACAGCATTATTTTTTTTTTCCTCTGTGCAAGGGAGCTCATAATTTCATTTGAGTAAAGAAAATGAAGCTGAAATACTCAGAAGATCCTGCAGCTCTGAATTTGAGGCATGGGGTTTCTTTCCAAACCCATTTGCCATCAAAGCACAGGAGGGGACCCTTTCTCAACCAGGAGAGGAATTACCAGACCTCTGATACCAGCTAAGATGGGGTGGCCCTTTGCTGGCGCTGCAAAGAAATGCATTTTCTTTTGCTAGCAGGTGAATGGCCCCTGTGCTAGAGAAGGAGGATGTGTCATGCTGTGGTTTTGCCCAGGGCCGTGCCATCGGGTTCAGGCACTGCCATCAGGGCAGGTGAGTTGGAGACCTCACCGTGTTTCCACCCTGACCGGTTCCCTTCGAGGTGAAGCTTGATGCAGGGTTGCTTCAGCAGCAGGTGCCTTCAGATCCATCCTCTGCAAACCTGCACGGCTCTACCCAGCCTCTTGATTTGGTTAACTTCTGCCTTTCTGTGGCGTCTCTGAAAGATTGTTTTTCGTCTCTGCCCAAGAAGGATGAAGATGCCTTCTTTTTATAGCTGGTGAGTCTGGGCGATGGGACCAGCACAAGAGATAATCCAGGAGCAGCATCATGAAATTATATTTCCTCTTGTCAAAACAATAAACAAGCTTTATGGTCACAGGAAACGGGGTGAATTACAGGAACCGGAGCTGGGCACGTTGTGCCTTTGAAAATGTGAGAGTGCTGGCAGGCAAAGCCAGCACCTGCAGCCCCAGGTCTCCTGTTGGATCCGGCACCTCTGTTGTGCTTTGAACTCAGCCTCTATCCTGGCCAAAGCCGGGACAACCTCCCAGCCACCCAGGCACCTGAAATACTGTCCTCCTCAGCAGGACTGCTGGGCTCATCTCTTCTCCTGGGGCACGCTGCTGGGGTTTTGGAGGACTCGAACTAAAGGCTTTGCGTTTCACCTATGGGTTTGTGGAGGCCAAATGGACGGTCTTTGACTTCTTTACGTGCTTTCAGAAAATTACAAGTTTTCCACGATCTCTTTTTACTTTGAATTGTTGCTCTTGCCTGGCTCACTGTCATGACCTCTTGGCTAACTTTCTGTTGTGGTTTCACCCCACCCTGCCCCTAAGCACCACGCAGCCAGTTCAACAGTATCCCAGCCAAAACCAGTACAGCTTTCCCCCACATCAGAAGAGACCACTAGACCAAGTTGTCTAACCTCCTGTGCATCAAACTGATGTGACCTGAAAGGCTGAAAGTGTTGAGTGTGTGACTTTTCCTCACAGGCTGGGGCTGCAGTAGGTAACAAGGACAGTTTGAGGGGGGGGTCTAAGTGAGTTCAGAGGGTGAGCGAGGCAGGAAAAAGGGGGGAGAGCAGAAGCAGCTGAGGTGCTTGGGGGTGCCATCATGGTGATGGGGAACACTGTCCTTCATGGAGTCACCAAATCCACTGCTAAGGTTGAGGGTGGGAGAGCCGCCATCGCTCAGGGCCTTCAGATGCTGGAGCAGGTATTGCCCTGTCGGGGCCATGTTATAATTCTCAGCATGTAGGGGACTGTAGTGACCAATTTCTGCTTTATCAGTCTTGTCGTAAATGATGTGAGTCTTTTACAGATAGATTTGGATCTGCAAAATGATTGCTGGATGAGATATAGAGAGATGGTTTCTGTGGTCCTGCCTGCATGTGAGGATAAGAGCAGTTGCTCCTCACCCGGTCACACACCACCTGCCCCACAGCTATTCCTGTGGAGGACCTTCCTCACCCCAAAATACCTCCAAATTCAAGTGTTGGAGTTTAAAAAAATGAAAACAAAGTGGGGTGAAAACCTTTCTGTAGACAAGCAAGCAATCTGTTTAAGAATAATAAAAGTTGATGCACTCCATCACTTGACCTCTGATTCAAGGAGGAGTTGATTCCCTTTCAGTTTTCTAGGTGTAAGTGATAACTGTAAAACTCAGCTTATGTTTGCAAACATGAATTTATTTTTTTTAAGCATCAGTTTTTTTGAAAGAAAAATGTAGGACAAGCTACATAGTTACCATAACGGTGCCTTCAACTTGTGTTCACCTGATAAGTGGAGAATTGCATGAGAAAAAAAATAATCGCAGTCAACAGCTCCCAGTCACATGCTAGCTGATCAAGGTCCATAAAAATCCTCAAAACAATCATTGAAACGGAAGTCTTCTTCACTGGCAACGTTCTACAGTGTCTAGCTTATGAGAAAACTGCTAAATTGCCAAAAACTTCATTGTGCATGCTCAGTTGTGCACCTGAGCATCAACCTCTGCTCACGTTTTTAAAGGCACTGCTTGCAGCATGTAAACATGAATGTGTATCGTTGGCATAACGAACGGCCAGTTAAATCAGAGAAAACATTTCCATTGACCAGGGGGAGATGGACTGTTCCCCACCTCTGCAGCTTTCTCAGCAGCAAGCCTGCAATAATATTCTCTCTGTGACGGTTACTTCCTTCAGATAGGCACGTTTGGTAT